ATCTGAATAAATAAACATTTTAGGTAGTTTCCTATGTTCTTTATATCATCTTTTTACCATACTTGACTCACTGAAAATGGAGAACAAAATTATAGGAAATTTAAGTGGAAAAATTAACATAACTGCATGTGAAGGTTTTACACACACACTAATAACTAAATATGGAAGGAAACACAAGTCTTCTGAGACATCAAGTTGGTCCTGATTAATATAGTAAGAAAATTATAGCTGCACTGATGTGAATGATACCAGCTATAAACATCAATGATTCACCACCCTGACATATTGCCTGCACAGACTGCCATTCACAATTATCCTCACATTTCATTTCAGAGCTGATCTGACACCTGAATATGTTTCTTGGTTTATGCTGAATTAAGTGTGCTTTTTATTGTAAATCTCCAAATATTTTTGCATGACACATTGAAGATAGAAGGTGGGTGACAACCATGGAAAGTATTTTCTCACAGTAAAAGGAGATGCTTGGATGAAGCTGAAGAACATTAGTAACTCAAGGAAACAAGGCAAACTTGCTTGCAGGGAAGTGCAATATTTTATATTATTCTTCATAATTTACCTGAAGAATTTAGCAAATTTTTTTCTACCCACATATGCAAAAATTGCTTATTTATTTGCTAATTTATCAGAAACTTAAATGGTGTTAAAATATACACACTTACACATGCATGCACACGCACACACACTCAAAACACATTAAATTTGCATCTCAAACATATAAGAGGTACCAAAAAGACAAAATAGTTCAACCAGCTTTGAAGTACTGAACAAAACATCTGCCCATTTCGGAAGCTAGTGATATAACTATCTGCTTTTCTGGAGTATTGAAGATTTGACCAATCCTAACATTGGAATTAGTTGCCTTATAATGGGGCTTTACTCTTCAAAATAGTGAAGGGTGAAACAAGCTTCTTCCAGAATAAATTAGAAATATTTATTCATGGTAAATTCTACTATCAGTTCTGTTGAAAATGACTCATAGGTACATTTAAATGTCAGAAGTGGTAGCATTAGATTATCTTGCCTGACAATTAGCTTAACATGGATCACAGATTTTCATCCACATACTAGTGCCACTGTCCCACTAGCATCAATTAGAATAAAACTGGTGGTTTTAAACCACTAAAAAAGTGGTTTAAAAGCTACCAGCTTCTCTTACCAGTACCTGCCACTGATTGACCATCAAACTTTTACAGTTTCTAACTTCTTCCCAACTTGAAATTGCCTGACTTTGATTTCTACTCACTCTTTTTACCTATTTCTTTTTAGGGTTAAAAAACTCTTCAATGCCTCATATTTTCTCTCTTTTAAGGTACTTTCACCACATGATGAACACACCTATTAAATTTTTTAAAAATTACTTTGTATGCTTACAAGTTTATGTATTTACCCCTCAGGTCTTATTTGCATCTCCATTAATGTTCCTTTTATATCAAACATAGCACACTGCTGTTTGCCATTATTTCACAATGAATAATTTAATCCAATATAATTAAAATGTGATTTTTGCACTCAGCTTGCTTTACCTACTTTGCATGTCAGAAATTACCATTTTAACCCAAAAATCTTGACAATGAAGACCTTTATACTGACCAGATTTGTATTTTCACATGGTATTTTGAAAACTTTCTACAGAAACTTTTTTTTATAATCAACTATTGTTTTGGTGGTGTATGAATGTGATTGTCACAGTTTGGAGATTTTTTGTACTTTTTTTACTATCTAAAATTGTAAATATTGAATTAGGGAATTAGTGCTCCTTTGATGAATTTATGTCAATAGAATTGTTTTTTACACAGTCAAAATACAGCTTTTAAAATCTACTTTTATGCTTCAAATTTTAATGGTCTCCCTGATTATTTTGACGGTCCCCTCTTTCTTTTCCTTGTAATCTGATGGGGGGGGAGTGGGGAAGAAAAGAAAAAAAGAATACAGTAACAACATGAATCCAGTAGTTATAAATCATATAATAATCTCTGACATCTCTGATTAAGGTGCAGAAGATCCTGCCTTTTAGGGCTTTGAGGCTGAGAGAACCATAAAAATTGAATATGGCATCCCAGTGTCCTATATTGTTCATAAGAAGAGTCAGTGCCTTTGGAATGGATGCTAAAGGAGAAAGCACACTCCACACATGCAGAAGAACTATGAAGAAAACATTGGCCACGGTGGCAGATGAGTTGTGAGTTTTATTTAATGTGTTTGGACTATATTCCCTTCCTGACGATTAAATCGGTAAAGTATAGGCATTAATATTTATTTAGAGTTTTAATATTTTTACTGCCACCAGAAGTGGTAGTATTCTTTCATACTGAAACACTGAAATATTAATGTGCATTCAGTAGTGATTCAGTGATTGTCTCTTCTGAAGCAGAAACACAGAATAATTCTATCTTCTCAATTTTCCTGAAAAGAATGACATGAACTCAGTCTCTGCCATGGAAGAACAACAAGCACAGGAGAGGGATGATGCTATAGTAGAAGAGCCCAGGTTTCTTTTCTTCATTTTTTTAATTAGGTTTCCTGAGCTATCATGCTCTCTATCAATCTCTGAGAATATAATCGCTTCAAACCCTGTTAGCCTGCCCTTTTGGCATTCAACTCATTCTCCAGGGAAAACAAATTTATAATGAAAGTAGCATGTGAGGTAGTATAGAAAGGAAGAAGTTTGAAGGTGACCATAAAGCACCAGAGTAACTTTTTTTAAGCTGGCTCTGCTTCAGTAATATCCATGGGGCTTGTACAAATGTGTCCAGAAACACACACTGCTGAAATGGAGACATTTATGATGCTGGCATAAAAGCTGAACAAAACCGTGTACCTCTACGGGGGTTCAATGTAGTAGCAATAATGGGAAGCTGTTTTTCTTGGGCTTATTTGCTTTATATTTGGTGAAATCACGGTTAAGTCCTATAGTACTTGCTGTAGAAAACTAGAATACGGACAGGATTAATACTCCAATGTCAGAAGCTGTAATTTCATTGCAATGATTTTTCTACTTCTATTTTTCATTATTTACAGGTTTTAGTAAGCTAAAGAAACCATTTGAAACACTTTATAAGCTTGACCATGTTGGCAGACAATAAAGGAATAACCACATATGAATAATGTGATAAAGAAACACCTAAGTGATATTCCTATACCACTTAAATTGGAATTGCCTCTCTGCTGGGGCGCCCTCTGTTAATGTAGACTGAGAATGGAGGATCTAAGTATCCTCCCAGACAGTTTGGAGAGTCGTTTCCATGCTTCTACACAACAGTTCCCTGAAGGCATTGGTTTAGGTTTTACTGCTTTATGGACTGATTCCTTGGCTTTAAGTAACTTCTGCTATGTGGCTGAAAAGAGGGAAAAAAAAATAAATCCCTGCATTGGTATACAAGAACAGGGGATAAAGCAGAAGGGGGGAAAAAATGTCTAAAAATGAGTAAATGAGCATCAACAAAGAAAAATGGTAGAAGAAATGAAAAGAAGGACCTTCAATATATAGCATAGATTCTGTACATTTTTATTCAAACAGTATAATAAAATCTTTGGAGAAGTTACGAGGAAGAGTTGTCCTGGCTCCAATGGGCTTACTTCTCAGAGGATAGCTACCAGGGTGCTGTGTTCCAGGCTTAAGGCTTGAAGTAGTAAGACGCTACCAGAAAAATAAATAAATGTGCTTGTCACAAATGAGATTTTTCTTCTCTCTCAAAGCCTGATTGTGCTCTAAGATCATTGTTTATATTACACCCTCAGTGCAATGTCTTCACAGAGTGATTAACTTTTCCTATTAAATCTCTCCCTACATGACCACTACTAAAGAGTCAATGTTTGCCCACACTTGGTAGTTAAAGGACAGACCACAGTGATGGGACCTGTTGCATTTGGGATGTCCTACTCCTTGATGAAGACTCCAAACCTCACAGCCAAAGAACAGCAGTAAATGAAGTCTTACCACTTTTCTGTTCCAGATTGCTAGCAGAGAGGGTTTTTTCAGACTATAAATTTGCGTTCTTATTTTTGAAGTCTCTGATGTAAAAAGCTTCTGAATTTTTTTTGAGCTGTTCCATCTTTAATGTGCCTCCCTAAGGAAAGTATAGTACACTTATGTGACCTACAAAACCTAGGAAATGTACCATGTATGTCAGTATAAGGTCTTCTCAACAGGAAACGCTTTTTTAAAATATGATTTTTCATACTTTTTTTTTTTTTTTAATACTAGTCTATCTCTGCCTAGATGAAACTTCAGCAAAGACCAAGTTGCCTTTTACATGCTTTTGACCCAAAAACCCCAAGCCGAACATACACTGGAAAGCACTTCAGATGAATGGAAAGAGACAATTTTTTTCATCTCCTTTTCCTCTCCTCATGTCTTAGATTAAGAAATGCTGAGCATGTGGAAAACTATTTTTCAAACAGAGAGTTTTTAAAACAGAGAGTAGACCATATACATTACTTTGGGATTAAATAAATAATTAAATACAATGTACAATAATGGCCCTATTCAATTTGCTACTCACAGCTTTAACTTTCTAAACATATTTCATTATCTCTTCCCATTATTACAGTTAAGGAAAACAGAAGAAATTGGAAAAAATAAGACAATAGTTTTCACAATTATATTGCGTATTTTAAGGACTCTGCTCTCATTCTTAGTAAAATCTTACATTGCAGCCACTGTTAGTTGCATCAATATGTTTGAAAGCAACCAAATTTATCATTGTTTCTTTATCTTTGAAAATGAAATTTTATACTAGTTAAATATGACATTAAAACTAAGCTAAAAGTCAAAATCCAATTTTGATTATTTCCAAATTTGTCAATTTCTAGTTTAGCTCTATATCTAATAACACCAAGACTTTTGATATTAACTTCAAAGGGGAAAAAAAATCTCTTTCTGCAAGGTGGTTGCATGCAGTTTCCAGTTGCAGTGTTAAATTCTCGTTTGTCAACTGGTCTGACAACGTAATAATTTATTTTATGCTTTCTCATCATACCTTGAGAATTTTGCACATTATCTCATAAACTGAAAATGTTTTCTCAGCTCGTGTCCAATCCCAGGTTGTGACCTTGTGAAAAAAAGAAACAAACAAACAGGAAAAGAAAGTTATTTTTGTTTATTTCAAGAATTAAGTTTATTCAAAAAGTAAAAATCTATCTATAAACTATTTACATCCAGTATAATGTATACAGAAAGACCAAGCACTGCCTCATAGCAATGACTACCAGGGACTAGACTGATGGATACAGGCAGCACTTAGGAGACATCCTGCCTGTCTCCTTGTACTTAGAACACAGCGCCTCTGCATGCAGGCTGCTCTATGCTGAACGATGAGGCTTCCCCTGGGAACTGGTGGGGTTTGTGTCATGATCCTAAGAGGATGCAGCCCTTGAATTTCTATCACAGAATCTTGGCTATAAGAAGGCACCTTTCTCACCACATCCCACCTTGTAACTGCATGCCACGACTTGCTCCCAGTCACCTACACTGTTTGCAAATCCATAAAACCAAATTCTCCAACCTTGTAATGTCCCAGACACTTACCCCACATGTCTCAAAATCCAGGGGAAAAAAATAATGAGAAACAACCAAATATACAGTTTCTTTTTTTCTTGCTCATATTAATCAACTCCTAAATTCTAACAAACTAAGATTTGAAGAATAGTCTTTCTACCCTCTTTTTCTTATGAATTGACAATTGTTTTTAACAGTATTAATTTTAAGCAACTGTTTTACACAAAAAATTGCATAGATAAAAGAGTTCAATATAATCATGCGAGTGTAAGGGATAAGAATTAAATAAGACAGAAAGGGATAGGCAAATATATTCAGTAAGGAAAGAGTCAAGGGGATATCAAAGCAATCTATAAATAACTTTCCAAGGACACTGTGAGAAGGAAATAGGAGAATTATTCACAGTCTCAAAAGACAGAAGAACACAGAAAACAAAATGAAAATTCAGGCTATATATGAAAAAAATATCTTAATATTAAGTATTGAACAGTGGCCCAGCTCCAAAGGAGGACAGTTGTATCATTGCAATTGTTAGGCAAGATGAAGACTCTGATGAAGATAGAAGTTTATTTGGTATTCAAGATTCAAGAATATAAAGTTCTTTGGAAAATGGATTGTAAAAGAATATCCATGAAGAAAATATTATGAGCCCAATTTATCTTTTATCTAAAAATAAAATAATCATGAACAGACACAACATGGCTGAGAAACATTTATGGATTTGGATGCCAAATGGTATAAAACTTTCTTGATCAAAATAATTTTGGTGATGTATATTCTATCCCTAACTAATTTTTAAGTATAAACACTATTCTAATTGAAAGCCCTTTGATGAAATCACAGTCAGGATTGGAAAGTTCAAAAATACTGTGTCAGAGTTGCTCCATTAGAATGTTATTTATTTGCAGCCACTCTCAAACTCAGTTTTCACTATCTTATTGATGTATGGGTATTAAAATAGATTTCTAAGGAATACTGAGAAATCAGCTCTCAGAAATATTGAAAGCCAACAAATCGTTTGACATAGAATGAGGAAGTAAAGAAATATTGGAAAAATACAATCTTTACACCTGAGTTCTAAGAAGCTATTCAGAGATGTGATGAACAATATATAAAATGCTTTTGTTAGAGAAAAAAAAGAAAGGAAAAAAAAAAGCTGCTCTTTCTTCTGTGGGCACAAAATGGACAAAGACAGAACTTTCTCACCATGAACAGAGAAATGAGGAGAGGAGTCTTGCTACAGCTCCACTGAGCCCAGAATACCAGCCCAGACACAGAAGCTGAAGTCATATTGCACCATCAGAAAAACGTAGTTACTATTGCTGCTGAAGCACAAAGCCATTCAAAGCCATGTTTAAATGCTTACTGTAGGCTCCATACTTTGGGAAAAAATATCAGAGAGCCCCTTTCTCCCCCATTTTTCTGCTTTTATTTGTACTTCTAAAGGCACTTCTTTCCTGGCCAAAACAAAATTCTTTCTGTATAAAGATATGTGCAAAGCAAAAGCAACTGGAATTAAGACACCCATAGAAATTGCTTGCCCTGTTCTCTTTTAATGTTTTAACTTAAAAGCTTGAGTAGTAATAGAAAAGCTGTTAGCAGCACTTTCAAGTGTATTCTCTCTGAGATTTTCAACTATAAACCATAAGAAAGTGAAGCCTACCAGACGACACACTTAATAATTTCAAAGGAGAAAATGTACCAGGAAATAACAGCGAAAGAAAAAAACCATAATTTTGTTTAAAGCAAAATAAGATATGTTATAAATACTCATTTATCTGAGCACAGAAAGTAAAAGTACTATTGATCAAACACAGATAAAAGGGGCAGGGGGAAGCTACTGATACATACTGTTTAAATGCATCCCTTCCTAATGTGTTGGACTTTGGCAGAGACCAGGGAAATATTTTCTTTTGATTTTATGGTTTAAAATTTGGCAGCACATCTCTGTTCAGAAAACAACTTAATCCAAGGAGTTTACACTGCAAATATAATTAAAACTGTTTTTCTTCTTATAACTACACTTTACGCATTTCGTAAACAGAAGCTCTGAAACTGGCACTGAAAGTTTGTTCTTAATCTTTCGTAATCCCTGGAAGAGATGAACACAGACGCCCGCAAAATAGCAAATATAACTTTTTTTCTATAAAAACCAGGATTTTAGAAGTCCTTTTAAAAGGCCTAGCGCAGTCTTTGGTAAGATAATTTTGCTGGGCACACGTGTTCAATTATTACATACAATGCATGTTTTTAAGACAGCTCTATAGGGAATCTTCCTCTCTTTGTCCTTTATAAAGCATGTTTGTCCTTCCGCTTCCCTCCTATTCCACGGAGAGAAAATATTTTTCTCTCTGTTTGAACTGTCTTCCTATTTTAGAATAGGAACCAGATTCTGGCAAAACAAAATCATGTTGTGCTTGCAGCTCAGCTGAAACAATGCCTATGTAGACTTCAAGGATTGGTGGCTTGTCTCACAGAGCAACACCTTGCCAAAATTGTCCTAACTCACAGCACCACATTTCACAGTCCTATTACGAACATGTTCCTCCCACACCCATTAATCATCACCCATTACCTATTTGCCCACCAGCAGCATATTACTCCTGGAAACTTATGACTGAATGCTAGTAAAGAGGTTTGTAATTTATTCCAGAGTGTTTAAAAAAGCTCTTTTGTATTGATCCAGAGCTCTCAGCATTGTTTCTGCTTCCATCTAGTGTATGCAATGGAGGTGGCTTTATTTGATGGGCAGCATATGTTCAGGTAGGTCTGCCAAAGCCAGGAGAGCTGATTTTGAATTCAGGTGCTTCATAGCATAATCTGACATTTTAATCTGATCCTGAAAAATATCCACCCACAAAAGCCAAATTTCTATTACTGTCCACGGGAGAGCCTAACTCCCACACCCATGAAGTAGTGTACAGACATTGAACATGTGAACTTTTTAGTTCATACTTAACTTCTAATCTTCATGTCTTTCACGTGTTCTTAGACACTTTGCTAGACAAACATGAATAGTGACTGATGAACAAATGAATTCACATGACTGTTTTTGCTGCCAGTATGGGACTACTACTGGTTCCTTATCTACTGGCTTAAAAGATAGATAGAGGACATCTCTGTGAAAGTAAATTGCTGAGTAGGAGATAACAGACACAACTTTGCCCAGTGTTGCCACTCAGATTCCAATTAATATGTTTAACCTAAACAATTCTCATTTGCTTCCCTACCTTCCTTTTGGTGCTCACAATCAGAATAAAAGTTACATTCAGGATGAAATCTAAATACAGAGAAGACGTTGCCATTTCCACAGCATGCAAAAAGCTTTGATATTTCCCCTAATCTCAGCAGTTTGACTTTAAAATGATAGTTCAGTTTAAATCTAACCATACAGCTTCAGGATTGGTCTGCCTGCCAAAGGAAAATGAAAAGCCCCCTTTTAGCACAAGTAGATTTCTCTTGTATTTTTCTAAGTGCCCAGGAAAGTGTGGAAAAGAAATTCTTGTTAGATACCCAATCATCTGATGAACAGTTATTTTCTATCACTTCTGTATACCCCATACCCTGGAAGTTTTCAGTACTGTAAGTTTAAAACCTCTTAGCTTAATGAGTGATAATTTATTATGAAAGCCTTAGACATATCTCAGGTTTTTTTATTTAATAACATCTATTCCCACTAAGCATGAGAAGTATACTTACTGGAGGTGCTATAAATTTATACAGTGAAGATCCCCTCAGTGCTAGAAACTTTGGTGTGTACATTCGATCTTGAAGGGAGTCTTGTTCCCGTTCTTCTGTCCAGCCCATGTAGACTATCTGACAGAAAAATCAATAGTGTTGACAAATTTCTCAGACACTTTCTTCGAATGAATTGCAAGTATTTCATGCCTGTCAAATTTTACATAGCTTGAATCACGAACACAATATGGTATATTGGCAGTTGACTTACAATCATGCACTTGTATCAAGAATGCCTGTTATGACAATCCAAAAGCATCAGAAGAAATATTTATTGTTCTAGCAACAACAAAAAAACTAACCCACATACTCAGTGGATGTTAAAGGTCTATTATCTCATTAAAAGCTCCCTGAAGTAACTCGACATATTTGCTGACAGATCACTTCAGAGGAATTTAATGCAAGTGAAGTGTAAGGAACTACTCGGCAGGAATACAAAAACAAGTAACTGTTACACTGCAATGTAGAAGCAGTCTTCACATACAAGTTCACAATTATGCATTAAACAGTATTATCTTATGAATTTTATTTCCAAACAATGACAAGCTTTTTTCCCCCCCTCTGAAAATGCCTATGTAGGACTTTTGAACCTCCTTTCTTAGGAACAGAAAATTAACAGACTGTTTTCAGATGCTATTTTGAACAGACTTCATCTACAGCTAAGAAGAAACCAGAAGGCTGTCGACTCCTAGGACTACTTGCAGATCTTCCGACATCGATGTATGAACTAGAAGGTATTCAAACCCATTTTAGGATCTAATTCCCTACCTATCCATCTATTATGTTTGAGCAATTCAATATCAAATCCTTAAAGAGTAACAGAGTATGAGTCACCACTATGCCAACTTCTGGAGAACATGTGAACAGGGAGTAGACACAGCATGCAACTTTTGATTTATAACCATGCCATTAGTAATAAAATACAATTTCCAGTGTGCATGGGTACACTACTGCTACGGAAAATAGATCAACCCATATTTCATACAGTGCTGCTAATGGAATAGATCTATTTTTAAATTGCTTTGTGAAACTGATTTCTACATTAACTAGGCATGGGGCATTCTCTGTCTTAACGTCAGTAATGAATATGTAAGGAAAACAGTGGAGGAAAAATAACTACAATCATATTAATAGCCAATGAGTTGGTAAGTTTACCAATGGTATAAATGTACCTAAGATGAATGTTTGTACTCCATGTTTTATCCTTTGAGATCTTATATGCCACGTACTTTTTAAAAAGCAATTTATACAAGTTTATTTCATTACTGTTGGGAAGACAATTTTCATCAACAATTCTCCATGGAATATACATTAAAATAAATAAGGGGGGGTGTCTGTTTTGGTTTGTGGGGTTTTTTTTCCTTTTCTTTCTTTCTTTTTTTTCTTTCTCTTTTTTTTTTTTGTTTCTGTTTGATTGTATTGCAACACACTGGAAAATAAGAGCTTTTCTAATTCCTGTGTATGAAATCTACGCTACTACTCTCCATCACAGTTTACTACATGGTCTATAAACAGAGACAAGGAGAAAGCCCATTCCTCTAACATTTACAGTGAAATCTCAGCATTTATTTCTTTTGCCAATAGCAAAGATTAAGACTGCAATATAGTCTCGGGTCTCATTAATAATTGGTGTTTAAGTATCTGCTGGTTTGGTGATTAAAGAAGTTTATAAAACTCAAAAAAAAGACAGAGCTGTACCACAATACTCAAGAATCAAGCAGATTGCTCAACACTATATTGTCATGCAATAACTAAAAAAGGCACATTCTCGGAAATCTCATCCATTCCTGAATGAAGAAATAGTCAGAAAAAAAATCCAACTGATAGATAGAGCAAGAGAATTTTCAAATAATTTCAATTAACTGTTTATTTAAATTTCCCTCATGTTTGCGGTTTTGTATGTTAACCAGGATAAGTATGCAGGATAAGTATGGATCCCCATCCCTCTGACTTAGTGGGAATCTGTAGAGCTCAGTGACAGACAGACTACAGAAAAGAGTAAAAGTAGTATAAAAAATTGTACTACTATGTGCAAAAGTTTGGTACATTTTCCTCTCTGTAACTGAAAGAGAATGAATGATCTCTAATTTCTAGGAATTGAGACATCTATGCTTTAAAATTAATTAGACAGAATTGATTTGGTTCTATCTTGATTTGTTTCATTAAAATCAGACACACAGTAAGATATCATCTTGCCTGATGATATTTAATATCACTGTAGCAATGTATGTAATCTGTTTTCAGATAGTGTTTTTCTTTTTCACATTCCTCATTTCTACTTCTGCTATTCATCAGAATAACAGGATACAGTCAGTCATGCTGTGCAGATGTACTGATATTTCACATTTGATTGCCTTAATACTAAAGTACCATGAAATTGCTCCTTTAGATATTTCTCCCTTGCCTCTGTAGATCATGAGGAGAAATTAGATTGATTTTTCAGACAACCTGCTGTACCAAGGTTTTATTAACAAAAAGGCATTTCTTCTTCAGACTGAATACTTATCATTAAACATATAGAACTGTTAAGCAAAGGCTGTATGATTATAATTATGACCATTTACAAAGTTTTTTGAGTACATGTGCATAATCACGTGTCGATTAAAATAGCATGGGCTAGATCCTGGAAAACTGAACAAATACTTGATAACTATGTTACTTATGTGTTCCTAAAGTGGTCTCAGTTTATCTAAAAACACTGAATATTTGAAGTTAAATAAAATATTGTAATTTTTACATAATGAAACTGAGAAATCTTTGAAAATTATTCACTTGTGATATAAAATGGAGGCCACTTTCTTGAGACATTTATGGTACTGGTAAACATTTTGACTTCTAAAAAAGCTTTGACTGTGAACAGCTTCAAAAAAAATGTTTTTTTGGAAAGGGATCTTAACTTTCCAAATGAATAATTCTTGTATATATATGTATTGAAATAGTGAACGAATATGAAATTTGACCTATGAGTTTTGGAACAGATCTTAATGTACATGTGGACTTGGCCTAAAATAAGGAATTTCATGAGATTCTATCTGAAAAGAAATGTCTACAACCACAGAAAAATGATGAATGGAAATAAATGTGAATCACAAATAGACAGTGCATAGCATGCCCCTTTATAAACTTAAAAACCAGGCTAGTTTTTCAATCTTAGAAAAAGTTTTTTTTGAATCTCTATAAACTGCTAGCCATTATCAACAAAGTTGGCAGTGGTAGGGAAAACAGGTTTTACTTGTGATAACATTCCACTTCAAAGAGTCCTGGCTCCTAACTTACCTGAAGCAGCTCATTCTTCAAAATAAAATGGTGGCACAGATTAGTTAACTTAGTGGCTGCTGGTTCAAGAACAAAGATTCAATAACTTATTATAGTTATAAATCCGCAATTTAGTATGAACTTACATCACATGGATATCCGAATCAAGCAAGAGAAATTGGCATAAATTGCCATATTTCATATCAGTCCAACATATTTCTCAAATGACTTATATAGCCCTGACTTTCACAGAAACTTCTCCAGAGTTTTTATGCAAATTTTATTGTATTTTAGGAAGAAAAAGAGAATTTCCCCAAAATGAAATGTAAAATGTATGTGACATTACATGAATGACGCAATTCAACTATCAGAACAGATGCACTGACAGCTTTTTATGTTGGAAGTCTCATATTCATACTCATATTATTTGGAACAGTGCTGTAGGGCAACAGGATAAACATGGAGTCAGAAGACAAATGAATATGTCAGACAACAAGGGAAAAATGATGAGGGATGAGGAACTCAGATGATGCTCTCTACTGTGGTTTTAATATTGTTTTCTCTGTTTCATAGTCTTAAAATTCATTATAGTCAATTGTTAGCTGAAAATCAATAAAACCACACTAAAATGGAGTAAAAAGTGTGATTGTAATACAATCATTGGCAAAAACAGTCCTATATTTAAAAGGCTTTGGATTTTTATGTGTGTAATAATATTTTTTTAAGTCAACATGAAAACTGATCACATACAATTTCAAATGAATGCTAGAAAAATTTTGCTATACTGTAAATGTAGTCAAAATATCTCCTATCCTATTTTTCAGGTCTGTGAAAAACTTGGTAATCCTTCCATAAATACATGTATATTTAAATTGTTGTGAATTATTTCTATCTTCTTCCCAAACAAAGTCCACTAAACCAAGGCAGTCTGCATATGAAAAATGATCTCAAAGAAACAGAAGACAAATGGCAACGAAAGGTTATTTTACATATCTTTCAGATTAGATTTAAAATAATTTAAAGTCTCATTTCCTTCATTGTGTTTTGTGACAAATAAATGTCAGTAGTGGTCAGTATTTTCTAGAAAATAATGACATGAAATTATTAATAGCAGAGGAACAGCTTTCACAAATATCCCCTTTGACTTTTATTTCTCAACTTCAAAATTTAGAAATGAACTATTTTTGGTTTGAATTGTGGATGGACATGGTCCTGGGCAACGTGCTCTAGGTAATCGTACTTCAACAGGGAGGCTGAGCAAGATGACTGCCAGAGGTTCCTTATAAACTCAACCAATCTGTGATTCCATGAAATAAGAAAAATTATGGATGTATAAAAAGAGAAAGCGATTGCTTACAAACTACTTTCCCCTTCATTTCTCCTCCTTTCTATCCTATTTGCTGTTACTGACATAGATCACCTTCATATTTTTGAACCACCTACATACTACCTACTAATAGATCATTTAATGTCTAAGTATTTTGCTTATTATCAGAGATTATGAAATTATTATGGAAGATTATAAATTTACACATTTATTGAATCTCATATGGCTTAATTTCCTTCTGGGTAAAAACTCATGTTGTCATCTTGTTACCAGACCAAAGCTGAGTATAAATTTTCCATTTGTTTTTGTCCTGTTCTGTTTTTCAAACAATCACACAAGAATCAAGGAAATATTTAGGAGTCTTAAAGCAACCAGTACCAGAGAAAGTAGAAAATACTTCTTAACTATGGAAGATGATTTTTCCTTTACACTCCAGATAACTGAAAACTGATATCAAAGACTGAAAACAGAGTATATTTGCCTTTTTAGCACACAA